TTGGGTTTCCAAGAATGGCTCCTTGGTTTCCCCGATTGGATGTTGGTTTTCCGTGCTGGGTGGCCTTTCCCGTGCCTTGGTGCTTCGGTTCCGTGCGGGCCTTCTTGGCTTTTGCGGCTGCCTCTTCGGGTTTCGCCTGGGTTGTTTTCCCGTGGCTAATGGGGAGCTTTTTCGTGGCTTTGGTGCTTCGTTTCCTGGAGTTGACTGTTGGCTTTTCATTTCCCTTATTTAATATAGAATATTAAAGGGTTTTTTGGGCTGTTTGTATTCCCCTCCCTTGTCGATATATAGAAGATGTTTTGTGGCTGTTTTAGAAATGTGATAAAAGAATTTTTGGAAAATCTTAGTGATTTTCTTAGAAGAGCTTGAGAGCTTCTTCTTCTTCTTCTTCTATCTCTTGGGGAGACTTGCGAGTTCTTTCCACCCTTCTTCTCGGCTTCTAATCTTTTTCGTCTCTCCGCAAGTACCCTTCCATCTGTATCTTTCTTCTCTTGGAAAGCAAGTTTAGGTGTTTTTTATTTGAGTCGATTGTAAGAGTCTTTATATATCAAAGTGTCATTTTTAATATTATGTTTCTGAGTGTTCTTTTATATGAAATGTAAGAGTTTGTTCTAAAGTTTCTAAGTTATCTCTCCTTTTTAGTATAGTTCTGTCATTCTTCTATTTAGTAAGTTGTTTTGTTTTTTGTGATCGAAAATTTGGGTCCCTCTCCCCGGATTTTTGATTGCATCACTATTTATAGGGGCTGATGGCTGCTGTTGGAAGGGTGGTTGAACCTTATTTTGTCTCTAAAACCTGATGGTTTTCTTCCAAAGCTTGAGAGTTTCTTCTTCCCTACTTACTTCTTCTTCTAAGTCTTCTACCTAATTCTTCTTTCCACAAGTTACCCTTCCATTGTATCCTTTTTCTTAAGTTTTTATAAGTCGTAGTGTGTCTTTGTTTTAATATTATTGTTATCTTGTTTATGTTTGTCTATGTTTTAAGAAAGGAAAGTTGTGTCTTTGCACTATTATTTTGTTGCATCAATAAAACTGTTTACTATGATATAACCAAAATAACCTTCTATCATGTCAAACAATTTTCAGAAGTCAATCCAGGATTTATTGAATATAGATTACCAAATCTTGAATTAAATACTGCTTGTAGACAAAGAATTGTCCCCTTTCGAATGATCATGAGGCCTATCTAATACACTAGAGGTTATGCTCCAGGCACGCCTAGGACATAACATTACCAGCAGCAACCAGATAAAATGAAAACAAATAACTATTGCTATAATTGTATAACATTAAAAGCCATAATAAAAAATACGGGATTTAATCAACTCAAAGTGAACATATTTAACAAATCTCACAGCGGTGTTACCTGTTAAACGGTGAGGTGGAGATTATGCTCGGCTGCTGTAGGTGAGGATGGATGTCAGCTCCAGCAGCTTTGATGGAAAAAGGAAGAAGCGACGTCAACTGAAGAAAATGAATTAACAAGGGATCTCGATGGGGTCGGAAGATTTTAGTTAGGCGGCTACTCACTGCAGCTACTGCATTGAACAAAGGAGGAGGATTGATCGTCGGCGCTGATGATAAAGAAGACGCGAGGAGGAGATGGAAGGTGGCAGTGCAGAAGGCGAAATGGCCAATAGTAGGCAAGCAACGACAGCGCCGGGGCAGAAGAGGCGGAGGGGTCGGTGAGGGCTGAGAATTGAAAGAGCTAATGTTAGGGGCCTGTTTGGATGCAGGATTTACGCTGTTTGGTATCGGATTTGTTACGGGATTTACGGTAAATCCTGCTAAACAGCAAAAATGGACACTTAAATCTCACGCCGAATTAAATCCTCCGCTTCCCCTTTTTTGCCATAAATCCCATGTTTACTAAATCCTATGGTTCGGCGGTTTACGCGGATTTACGGGATTTGGTCAAAGAAGCTTGCGAAAGGGCAGAAATATGGTTACCGTTGCAGCCAGCGAGCTCCCGTCGTCGTCGAAGGAGGCGAAGGAAGAAAGTTATCTCTCGTGACTTCCGATCCGACAGGAAGGGTACGTCGTCGAAGGAAGAGAGAAGAAACTCGTTCGAAACTCCTCTACCATTGGAGAAGATAAAAAGCAAACCCTAAGGGGCTGTTCACAAGAATTTTGCTAAATCCTGCCAAACGGGATGTGTGCGCCCCGTTAATCTCACGGCGGAGTAAATCCTCCGTTTCCCTCTTCTTGCCGTAAATCCCGGATTTACTAAATCCTGTAGTCGGCGGATTTACGGGATTTGGCCGAAGAAGCGCGCGAAACGGAGAAAGTTACCTTCACAGCGAGCGAGCGAGCTCCCTTCGTTGCTTCCGATCAAAATGTTGTAACGTTCGATCCGACAGGAAGGAAAAGCCGTGCAAGGAGCGAAGTCGAACAGCAACGAATGAGCCGAAGAAGCTACTCGTTCAATCTCTACAGCAACGACGAAAAAGAGAAGATAAAAAGCAAACCCTAGACGCCTCTAAACTATTACCGCTTAATTTAATTAATATAATTAAAAATATTAATAATTAAGTAAACTAATTAAATAATTAGTATTATAATTAGTGCACACATTAACATATTAAATTTAATTTTAATAAGTAACTTATACTTAATATGTAATTAAATTCATAAGATATTAAATTTAATTTTGAAATGAACCATCCGCCATAAATCATAAATTACGTTGTCGAACAACATATGATTTAAAAGGATTTAACAACTATTTTGCCAAATAATTTTCAGTATTTAACACACCCATGATTTATTAAATCCTAAATTTACAAAATTTACTAAATCCTAGTTTTGATAAGGTTGTTTGGCAACTAGTAGGATTTATGACATTTATGGGTTATTTAGCAACGAGATTTATGCTAGGAGTGTCAATTTGGGCCAACGGGTTAAGTTCAGGTAGAACCCGACTTTACCTAGTCGTAAACGGGTTGACACTAACCCGACCCATTTTTGCAAACGGGTTAGGTTTGTCAACCTATATCATACCCGTTCGGGTTACCGGTTTTACTCGACCTAACCCGTAGCACATTTGCAAAATACGAACCCAAAGGCATGTGGGGCGGACGGGACACTGTGGCTGGCACGGCATGTGGGGCGAGGACCATACCAATGTGTGGGGAGAGGCCAACGCGCAAGTGCGATTGCAACCTGCAGACGAGCATGTGAGGTCCATGAGGACCTGCTTGAGTGACCATGGTCCACGGGTGTGAGGGCCAACCACAGCAAGGTGAGGGCGAGACCAGTATGGGCGGTGCAAGTTGAGGGCGAGACCAGCACATGCTAGGCTTACGCAGATGCGACGTGAGTGTGAGGGCCAGCCGACGGTTTCTTGGACGATGCCAGGGCAAGACATAGTCGGAGAGCTTACGCGACGCGGGTCAAACCCGGGTTGATTTTGGGTCGCCGAGTCAACTCAAACCCGACCCATATGGCAAAAGGGTTGACGCGAACCCGAAATTTTTTGAGTCAGGTTGGGGTCGGTTTTTGAGTCAGGTCAGATTTGGTCACCCCTAATTTATGCCCGATTTGAGGAGGATTTACCGTTAGAAGTTACAGTGGAATAAATCCTCCATCTTGTCCTTTTTGCGCTTAATCCTGAATTTATTAAATCCTACAATTTGGTGGATTTAACGTTTCATCATGAGGAAGGGGTGGGTGTCAGCGTTGGCGTACCTTCAACGTCCAGATGCTGGACTTGTTCTCCTTGCAAGACGACTCCTGAAAGGTGTCGACAAACTCTCACAGTCAATAGGTTTTCAGCGCTATGAAGTTTTCAAGTAAATAGCTCTGAGCTGCCAACCTTATTTGGGATTTTGTAGGTTTAAGCAATCGTTTATTGTTCTTATTTTTTGCTATGTTGTTGATTCCCAATGAACACACAGATCGATCTGGAAAGGAATTTGTAAGCATCGATGATTTCTTTGAGATTTTTTTATCCTCATTGAACTCTATGGTGTTTTTCTTTATATAACGGCCTTAAATTCTGGGTTATATTACCAAATAGCTCCACAATATTTAATAGGATTTAACACTCATGTTGCCAAACAGTTTTCAATATTTAACTTTAGCGGGATTTACTAAATCTCGATTTTCATGATTTAGTAAATCCTATTCAAGTTAAATCCTACGTGAGTGTATGCTTTTTGCTAATGATATACTTCTTGTTGAAAAGACTAGAGAGAGAGAGAGTTCAACGAAAACTTGAGTTTATAGATTTGAACCTTAGAGTCGAAAGGTTTTCATTTAAGTATATCTAAAAATGAATATATATAATGTAATTTTAGTAATAATAGATTTAAAGATGGTTGTGTCGTTACAAGATTTGATGGAAGGATTAAATATCTAAACTTAAATTTTAACTCAATCATCATGTAAAATAAACAAGAGCTAACTATAAAATCCAAAGCAATAATAATAGTTCAAACATTATTACATTTTATTTCTAAAAATTTATTTGTAATAATTGAGTTCACATAAAATTTATAAATAAAAAAATTAAAACTAGATTACAAAATACCTTAAAAACTTGGTCTCCCACTCCTATCAATTCTACTCCACATAGCATCTCCCTTTTCCTAAAATATCAGAGAAATAAGCTCAATAGATTTCCTCCATTAACCTACTACAAATATTAATATCCATTTAATTCACTAATAACAATTTATTTATATTTAAGAAATTAATAAAGAATAAATATAGTACTAGAAGAAAATGATTTCTTAGAGTTATAGTAGCATACTTAGTTTTAGAGTTATGACTTGTCCTTTCACAAAAATAGCAGAGATGTCATAGTAAACTTGGTATCAAAACCTTGCTTACACTTAAACCTTCTTATTCCATCGTAGTTTGCATAGAGATTTCAGAATATATCAAAACTAGCTTATAATATTATTTGTTTGTATTTGATTTATTAAGTTATCGAAATATGCAATGCATGAATATAATATATATGTATTGATGTCTTCTTAGAACTACACTTTCACTTATAACTCTTAACCACTCACACCCACATACATCAAGTGGGTCCAGAACAAAACATAATAGAATTTGGTAATCTCTCACACCCATATTCAATAAGTGAGGTAAAAATCTCTCACACATCCACACAAGACATATAAGGCCAAAACATAACAAATAGGGCCCTTGTATCATTTTAGAGTATGCATTTATCACATTTTTGAGATCAGAGCTTCACCAATCTCATGCCATGAGTAATATATTTTTAATGCTTCAATAGATTATGATAACTTTAATATATGATTATGATTCTAATAACTCAAATATGTGATATATATATATATATATATATATGACTCACCCCACCGACTCCCTCACTTGGTTGCTTAGCCAAGAAGAAATTAAAATAGGGGAAGATGGAGGAGAGAGAAAGGTCATTGGATTATATTTGTCAATCATTCATATTACAGATTTTATTCTATTCATTGCAAGTAACTAATCACTTCCTTCTATTTTTGATAATTTAATTTATATGAATTTTGTCTCTCCTAAATATGCAAACATTGTATATCTCCTTATTTCATAAGCTTTCATCGTGCATGTTTGAATATGTTATTGATTTGATTATTTTGAACGATTTGATATGAATCTATTATATTTTAAATGACGTATTAAATGATATCATATACATTATATGATAACTCCATGTGATACCCTACTGAATATTAAAAAAAGCACACAATAATATACTAAAAGTTACATGGTGAAAACATCATAAATTCAAAAAAAAAAAAAATCTTTTTATTCACATATTTTTATAAAATTGTTGGAATTGAAATTAGAGATAGGTATTTAGAAGTATACCTCTTGCTCTACGAAATCCTCAACTGGCCTGACGAACAATACCGGAGCTTCAGCCTTCAAAACCATCTTTCTTCTTCCTCTCACCTCTCTCTCTCTCTCTCTCTCTCTCTCTCTCTCTCTCTCTCTCTCTCTCTCTCTTCTCGCTTCCTTCTCAAGCATGGGGCTGAGGGGTGAGGTAAAATGGATTAAGAATATTTATATTAAAAAAAATATTATTTTAGGTCCAACATTGTGGTGCTCACTTCCCCAACACCTTTGCACTCAGATAAAAATATTTCAAATATTCTCAAATACTTCAAACTTTATAATAGAGCGCCACGATAGCACCACCCAACACCGCAACACACTCTCTCAAATCCTTATACTAAACAAAGAGCTCAATGTCGCAACGCAGTTCCTCCCAGCGTCAAGGTACTTCAAGAACATTTTTGGCAAGTTTAAACTCTACATCTCCATTCCAACTCTTACCATATTTAGGATTAATCAAGTACCATATGTTTTATAATGAAGAACTAAATCAAGTTAAAAAAAAAAAAAATCCTATACAAGTGAGGCGGTCCCAAACCAATATCAGTAAATAGTTCGTCTTTACTTGTTTTCATATATATTACTACCAAAAGTAATAGCAATCAACAATTACTTAATTATATGCTCGTATTCATTCACAATGTTTGTTTTAACAATATGTTTATATTAAAATATCAAAATTACTATTATGTAAAATTTTACAAAATTTCATTTTATTTAGTGAAATTATAAAATCAATAAGTCAAAATGTTTAGACCAATCAGTACTACAACATAAAAAAAGTTACATAGTATAAATTCATTAATTCAGAGATAATGTAATTAAAACTATTTTGAGAGAAATCCAATAGTCAAATCAAAATATTTGAAAACAAAAATGAGAAATAAGGCGCCGACAATGATATGAGCAATTAAATGGCAAAGAGAATCAGTGACTAAAAAGTAAAAACCCATTTTTCTCTTTCCTCTCTTATCCTTTCTCTTTCTCTTCTTTCCTACCATGGCAAATCACGACTGAGTAAGGTGAGGGAGTGAGGGAATGAAGCAAATTACATTTTAATATATTCAAAAACTCATTTTAGTGCATGGAAATGTGGCACTGAAGGAAACTAGCACCGCTACAATGTATGATGAATCCACAATAACTGTACAATAGTACCTTCAATGCCGCGACAATAAATTCTAGTGCCACAACTCCACAGGCATAACACCGCAACTCCCGTAGGCATAGCGCCGCAACACCCACATGTAGTGCCACCACAACACAAATAAATCGCCGCAGAGCTCATGTTCAGACAAAAGTTCACATTATAATTTTAAATTTATTCTAATAATTATCAAGTTGTTACATCTCAGGCTATTGTTCAAAGAAATGGTGAAGTAAATAGGTATATTATCAATATAATTCAAGTTGAATGGTTGAAGTGGATGAATGCATCGAGTTTGTTGTGTGATAGAAAAGCATCTCTCAAACTTAATGAAAAATTTTGTAAGATGATAGTGAGACCTACAATCTTTATGACACAAAATGTTAGCCATTAAAAGAGAAAATATAAAACTAAGTTAAGTGTTGCAACTTAAGAGTATAAGTGGCTTTACACTTTGAGATAGAATGTGAAATGAGTATATACTTGAAAAGATTAGGTAGCTCCAACGTCAAATAAAATTAGAGTGTCAACTTAGATGATTTGGCCTCATAAAACATCGGCCTTGCGTTGACCCAATTGAGAGAGAGTAGATGTATTAAATCCGACCAATATTAATAAAAGTACAGGTAAATCTAAGAAGACTTGATTAGAAAATATTATAAATGATTTTTTATTAGCTTAAATAAGAAATTAATTGTTAATATTGAGCTTATATAATTAACGAATGATATATACATAGATATTTTGAATAAATACTCATAAAGTTTAACTTTTACATCATTTTTCCCTTGTACAAACATTTTTTTTTTGAAATACCAATATAAGATCTTCCAGAATTACAAATTTAAACTACTAATAAGCTTCTCAAACACCACATCCTCCATCTCGCAATACAAGCAAATCCATCCCCCCATCATAGTATGCAAGCTCAACATTAACTAAGTTTCCACCAGAATTTTATCCCAATAAAAAACTACTACAAATATATAGCCTTTCATAAGCCCTCACAAACCTTGCAAGGCCGAAGGACTTAGCTGCAGAAGTTGGCTCGCCGGAAAGAGAGAACAAACTTATCAGAAACCTTACAGCACACATGCAGTATTATATAGCGTAAGGATCTTCTTTGCTTTGCCACCACCAGCAAAACAAATAATGTTATATATGGTTGGGGTTGCTTGCAGTCTACTCAAACAGTATAGGCTTGTTTGATAGTGTCTATGTCCAGGCCTTTGAGCCGCACAACAGATTCCACATGGCCTTTCAGTGTGTGAAGCTCTCTCAACCTGAAGGCAATGTAATAGTAATAAGAATGAGAGTAAGGCTTCGTTTGGGACGGCTTTCTTACTGCTTCTTAAAGCAGCGTTCTAGTATAAAAATTAAAATTTTTGTATTAAAAAATTGCTTTAAGAAGCAGTAAGAAAAAACCATCCCAAACTAAGGCTAAAATTGAATGATTAGAATGAGTTTATATGATTGGATGATATCTGCTATGTAAGATGTTAGTTATTTGGTTCATTGACATCTTTAAATAATACTTTTATGAATGATGTGCAAATCTTAGGCTTTGTTTGGGACAGCTTTCTTACTGTTTCTTAAAGCGACTTTATAGTTCAAAAATTAAAATTTTAATACTAAAAAGCTGCTTTAAGAAGCAGTAAGAAAGCCAACCCAAACGAAGCCTTAGTTTGATGACTGCTAGATATGAGTCTGATTTATTGATGTCTATATACAAAATACTCACATTGTTTGATTAAAATAATATTGAACAAAATATATTGCATTTCATGGATAAAACTGTTATCTGAATTACATTGAGATATGCATGCCTTTGTGATATGAAGATTTAAATTCGTGACATAAAGACTGCCACTACAAATTAAGGAAGAAGGTTGTAATCCTCAAATCCTGCACAAAGGCCACATTGATGGGACATCAAGCACTGACTGAGATGAGCTGAGCACTTCTATGTGAAAAAACAATAAACTCATCCCTTAACATGCAATCTTAACACTATTTTTCGCTTGATAAATAAGGAAAGATATATAAAGAATAATGATTTAGTTGTCTCCATTATGATCTAAAGCTCAATGATTCAATTCATAAAAATAGGCTCTCAATAATTTTGAGATAAGGTTAAAAACTTTAACAACTTTTCAGACCTCACATTAAAATGAGGTCTTACTCATTGAGGGTCCTTTTGAAGCAGCTTTTTCATAGTTTTATTTTTCAAAAAAACTGTGACAAAATTTGGTTATAATATTGTCATTGTTTTTGAAAATTTTCTATGATGAAAAGTAGCATTTCACAACAAAACCAACTGAAATGGATAGTTGTAAGAAAATTATCTGATTTTGAAAATTTTATAATAATAAGCTGCTTTCAAAAAATTTGTTTTTACCTTGATGATTCTGCAACTATGGCTTTGTTTGGGACGGCTTTCTTATTACTTTCTAAAACAGTTTTTTAGTACAAGAATTTTTTAACTAAAAAATTCTTGTACTAAAAAGCTGCTTCAGAAAGAAATAAGAACGCCATCCTAAATGAAGCCTATATTTACAAACTCTGAGGACGCCATTTTACGTGAAAAATCAATAAAGTCTGGACTTACCGAGCAATCTCAGCTCGTCTTTTGGCCTCTTCTGCCATTTGATTTAGATCAGTGAAACGGCTCCTATCAGTTGTGAACATTTTGGAATCTGGAGGTTGAAGACCATGAAGTGTTCTCTGAGCATGTGCCCACTTGAGCTCCCTTGCCTCCTTGCCAAAATCTTTTTGCCTTGTGAATGCAATCTGCAAAGATAAACAGTACAATAAATCAAATGTTTGTATCCTCCATTATAAGGATTGTGAGCCCTCAGTGTAGAAACTATTTACTCTCTGTTCAATGACAAGATCCCATGCTCTCCCACTTAAAGCATAACGAGTTATGAACTTGATAATGTCAAGCGGGAAGTAGAAGATGAGATTGTAGAGCCAAATAACACCAGCCCATCCCCAACCAATCCCTTCGATCGCAGCAAATCCCCAGCTAGCATATACAGCAATCAAAGTAGCAATCTGCGAGTATATATGGTAGTTAAAAATGATTGCAATTTAGAAAAATGGAAAAAAAAAAATTTAATGATGTATAACATAAAAAATACCAGCTGGGCAACAAAGAAAGCAGCCAAAAGCAGTAGACCAGGTCTCTCCATAAACGACCAACTGCGTGATCTTGTCACAAATATGAGAGCCTGGCTTATTGTACTAACTTGCAGGTAGACTGCAGATGCTAACTTCTTGAAATCATCCTGATTTGTTTTCTCCAGGCTTTCAACGTGAAATATTCGCTTAAAAAGGTTAAAATACAGAAAATATGAGAGCATGTGTGAGTACCAAGGTTTTAAAATTCTATTTCAGTAGCATTGTAAAAGTTCTAGCATCCATAAATTCAATATGGATTTCAATTTAATCTACGTAGAGAATCAAACTGATAAACCCAAAAATTAGTTAAATTAGTTAGCTTTGGATCGATTTCAATCAAAGATGAAATGAAACAAAAATCCATGGTAAGTGTTTCGATATGGAACTTATTTTTTGCCTTATGAAGTATAGCGTAGACTAAAATTCTGAGTCAATTCTACCAATAATATTGTGATGGTCGTTTAAAAAATGAGCGCAAGTCTTTTTTTTAATGCAGGACATTCAATGTTTATGAGTTATTTCATTAGTTGTTTAAAATTGCATAATATGAGGCTTGCCTCAACCTTGAGGCCTACCTCAGTACAATTCCAATGAAAAACGCTCTCGAGTTTTTTTTATGAGGTTTGTGCCTAAGCTTAGTTGAGGCCCATCTTGAGGCGCACCTCGCCTCACTAGCGTGAGGTTTACGCCTCACCCTATTTTTATATATATTTTAATTAAAACTTACATAAATGCTAAAGTAAAGCCTCGAACAAATCACACATTCATGCAACCAAAGTCGCAACAACTTCCTATCTACTGCCTCAACCTCCAGCCCGCCACCTTCATCACAGCCACCACGATCGTAGACGTCATCAATAATCACTTGAAAGCTGCATGCCATCACCTCCTCCTCCTCTACTAAAAATTTTGGAGTATTAATTGATTTTTATGTTGATATAAAGTCTTTATGAAAGAGGAAAATGACTGAAGTAAATGAAGAAGAAACATATTTAAAGGCATTGAACTCCATAGGATGAGAAAGGGGATAGACCAATTTGTTATGATGATGATTCAAATAAATACCCCCTCAGTGATGAGGTTACAAATGATTTTTGAGTTGTTGCAAACTATTTCAATATTTTTTAGAAATTAAACGTGCATGAGTAGGGAAATGTATGGCTTGAATACAACGAGAAATGTGCAATGGCTGTTGTATTAACACTTAGGTGCATTGTTAAATAAACAAGAGTTCCCATATCATAGACGGATGTGGGCAAAGACGTAAGTCCATGAAATTATAATTAGGATAGGAACTTGAAATATACATCCTCTTACAAGCAAATTAATGGAATTAGTAGATATTATGATTCATACGAAGATAAACATTCTATGCATTCAAGAAACTAAATGGGTTGGAGAGATGGCTAAGGAGATTTATAGTTTATGATTTAAACTATAGTATTTTGGTAGGACTCGTACTAGAAATGATGTAGGTATAATTATAAATAAGAGATTGAAGGATAATATTATAGAAATTAATAGAATTGAAGGTAAAATTATAGCTTTAAAAATTCTTTTTTATGTTCATATTATTAATATTATAAGTGTTTATGCTCCTCAAGTATATTTGGATATATATTCAAAATTCAAATTTTGAAATGACATAGAAAAATTAATACAAATGATATCTCTTAAAGAAAAATTTTATGCTTTTTGCAAGAGGATCTACCATGGTGTATTGCTTTTTGCTGATGACATTCTTTTTGCTAATAAGACTAGAGAGGAAGTTGAAGGAAAACATGAGGTCAACCTTAGAATCTAAAGATTTTCATTTTACTAAATCTAAATCGAATACATTGAGTGTAATTTAGTAGCAATAGATCTAGTGGGGGGAGGGGGGATTGAGACTTCGGGTGATCAAGTCATTAATAAGAGTACATATTTTAGATATCTTGGGTCTATTGTTTAAAGTGATGGTGAAATAGATTGGGATATTATCAGTAGAATTCAAGTTGGATGGTTGAAGTGGAGGAATGCATCGGGCCTATTGGGTGATAGAAAAGTACCCTCAAACTTAAGGGGAAATTATACAAGGTGGTGAGACATGCAATGTTTTATATCACATAATATTGGTTATTAAAAGAGAAGCATAAAACTAAATTAAGTGTTGCAAAGATGAGGATGCTCAGGTGGATGAGTGGCTTCACTCTTGGAGAAAGAATGTGTAACGAATATATACATGAAAAGGTCGGAGTAGCTCCAATGGCGGATAAGATTAGAGAGAGTCGCCTTAGATGGTTTGGATACATAAAATGTCAGCCTTTCGATGACCCGATTAGGAGAGTAAATGTATTATATTTGACCTATTTTAAGAAAAGTAGAGGTAGACCTAAACATATTTGGTTATAAAATATTAGAAAAGACCTTTTTTATTAGATTTAAATGACAATTTGACTCTTAACAAAACAAAATGGAAAAATAGATTCATGTAGCCGACCCATGTAATGGGATAAAGGGTTGATGTTGTTTTTGTTGTTGTTGCTGCTCTTGATAATTGAATAATGTCTCAAAAATTGCAATAGCATATACTGAGACATCCAATATTTCTTAGTTATTTCATGAAGAGCATTTTGGAGATTTTAATGTATTTTTTGGACAAAACCATCATGTTCAAATCATAATGTAATTTGCAATGCAACAGCATGACGTAACAATAAAATGGGCAAATATATCATAAAATTCATGGTATGTTTTGTGAATTGGTCTTTTTATTTTCTACTCTCTCTCTTCTTTTTTTTTTTTGCTCTTTATAATTAAATTGTCTGAAAAAATTCCACTAGCGCACTATGGAATAAAATAAATCAAGCTACAATGATGTTCTGTTTCAATCAAGGGATTAAAAACATATAAACTAAGTAGATTAATAAAAAAAGTAGAATCTCAAGTGTAATGGCTTAACATACTGGAAAAAAGTCAGTTTTGTATGCAGCCCAGAAGAAAATGACTGTCATCACGGCCAAGTAACTTCCAAGGATGATTCCAGTTGTAAAAATTTCTGCAAGCTTCCAACTGTCAGGAAGAGGAGAAGGCTTAACCCTATCCTTTGATATCGTCATAATGGTGCCTGGCAAATGATGTAGAAGGGCAAAATGATAATACGAAGAAGCTACATCTATAAAGATAAAAAATAAAAGGTAAATACAACGCAGTTAAAAATAACGAAGCTAGAAAGAAACTACATACCATCATTCAAGATAGCAATGATAAGGACCATAAATGGGGGGAAATCGAACTTCCAAATGAGGGCAAGCAGCATGAAACCAAGCTGTTCAAATCGGAAATTAGCAAACAATAAGCAATGTCATTTAAAATTACAAAATTTTTAAGTGCTGAAGGATTATCAAAATCATAGGCATAGCTAAAACAGACAAAATGTCTAGCGTAGACCATTTAAAATGCACATGTTCATTGCATGAGCCTAAAGAAGGGGGGCAAGTAAATGGCATAAGTACACTTTAGCAGTTAGCAAGCTTGGTGGTTGATTCATGAGTTCCAACTAAAAATTCATCCCTCTCCCCAGCTCTTACCTCCCCCGACACTCTTTTTAGGGAGGATGAAACAAAGCGGGATGGGCATTGAGAGAAATACACTAGCAGTATAAGAGGTGTGCTTCATCTAGGCTAGAATTGTAGTTCTCATAGGTCTCATGATTGACCAAGTTTCAAAGCGCTTTACTCCTACAATCCCTCAAGTGTTGAGTAAGCTTGGGGGGCATGATCTTTGATGAAGCTGAAAAGTGCCCGTTCTAAGGGAAGCGATGGGCCCTCATGTAAGGGAAAGATTACTATAACAAAATAGACTTTTAGTACCATATCAAATAGCTAAAAGAAATATATTTGTATAGAAATACCAACTGGTTTACTCTCACCTATAGGTTAAAATTTTGGAGTTCCAACCCCCCCCCCCCAGAGTTTTTCATATCAACTATTACATCAAATAGCTAAAAAAATATTTTACTGTAAAAATACTAAGAAGTTGGCGATCTCTCACAGGCTTAAGCTTTTGGGTTGAAAATGAGTTTAACCATTGATATAAAGGGGCCCCAATTTGATCCCTCTTTGGTTTATCTTCCTTAGCTACTCTAACAATAAAAACATAATTAAATTAACTAGCAAGAGTATCACAATTAAACCAATGCATCACCATGTTGCATGAGGTGTTAAACATATTATCATGATATAATCCATACTCAATGAGGAATCTTGAGCATGCCACCTCAACTGTAACTATTGAAATCTGCAGCCAAAATTCAGTAATACTTAATTAACCTTAGATGGCATGATCTTAAGAAGAAATCATAACTATAAACCCCATCATCTGCTCTTTCTACAGGGAGATGCAATTAAAATCACTCCAATTTACCAAGAGAAAAATAACAGTGAAAAAAACATACCACAATACGTATTGTGATTGACACGGCATAAATCTGCAAATAAAACAAGTCAGACTCGAACAATTTAACCAAAAACGTCTTTAAAAACATGGAAACACAAAAAAAAACCAAAGAAACTCACTGTATAATTTTTCATCCTCTGAAAAATAGCACGGCTAGTTAGGACAGCACTGATGATGACACTCAAACCAGGTTCAGTTAGAACAATATCAGAAGCACTTCGAGCTGCATCAGTTGCATCAGCCACTGCTATTCCTATATCAGCCTTCTTCAAAGCTGGAGCATCATTAACTCCATCTCCAGTCATACCACATATATGCTTCTTTGCTTGTAATCGTTTAACAATCTCATATTTATGCTCTGAAAATTGGCTAGACAAGTGTCAATATTGGTAAGTACCAACAAGCCTTTCCTAGGTAAGAAAATTACTGAAAATTTCCACAATATTTTAGAAGCAACAAATATACCTGGAAACACACCAGCAAAACCATCAGCCTTTTCTATCAGTTCATCAACAGGCAAAGCAGCAATGGACTCATCCTTGGCATTGCCCAACAAAGCAGATGAGGGATACATATTGGTTCCCATACCCAATCGTCGACCAGTTTCCTTGGCTATAGCCAACTGGTCCCCTGATTCAAATTTTAAAAGCATAAAACCATCAAATTCACCAGTAGTACTTTTAGATAGCAAAACTAAATAAATTACCCTAACAAATTAACCATGAAACATGCTCATGCCAACCTATAGAATTCACATGATTTTGTTCAGCTTAATTACACTGGAACATAAACATGCCTAAGGAGAGCTAATGATAAAGTCAAACAAGCTAACCTCCTTGTCAGGGTTGCCAATATACTATATTATGCTTCAAGTTAACTAAGGATTCGTTTGGGACAGCTTTCTTACTGCTTTCTAAAATAGCTTTTTAGTTAAAAAATGTTTAATTCAAGAAATTTATTACACTAGAAAGTTGGTTTAGAAAGCAGCAAAAAATTGTCTCAAACAAAACCTCAGTTTGATAAAAAAGCAAAATTTTAAAAGAAAACCCCTTTCCTAATCATTTTATAGAAAGCAGCTCCTATAAAAATAAATTTAAAAGGGGCCCAAGTCACACTTAAATTATTTTTTAAAATTATTATTTTTTACAATGCATCGTTTATGCTTTTTTATGAAATAAGATATCCATATATTAGTAGCCAACCCCATGTAGTGGGATAAAGGCTGTATATTGATATTGTTGTTACTGTAGATATTCATATACTATAAGATGTATGCATATGCATAAAATTTTGATTTAAATATAAATAAATGAACACAGTATTTATATTTTGAGTTGATCAAGAGACAACTCAATCCAATCTAATGTTGTTTTGAAATAGACTCAAAGATTGGACCAATTCGACCTGTTTAGCCCAATCAAGCCTAATCTCAGCCAAAAATAATTTATTATTTTAAGTTAGACTCATCCTTATACACATAGCATTAAAATGCAATAAATAAATAAAATGCAATAAAATAAAGAAGATTAGTTGATGGATTAATTGATGACTTAGAGCTAAGAATCCTCAATTCTTTTGGATGAAAACATATTACACATCATATTAGTAGTATAAAACACTAACTCTTGAGTCGTTTTGCATTATTTGTTACAAGTTTGCTGACACCATCAAACTAATTAATCAAAATTGCATCCCTTTACTGATGACCAAAATGCATTGCTAAGATGCAAGCTCAGTTTAAAAGCAATGCGGATTGATCCCCAAAAGTAAACAAACAAAAGCACCTACGGGAGAATTGCAAACCTCACAGATAAAATATGCTTATATGAGTCTAAAAATGAATATAAGTGAATGCTAGGCATTTATTCCAGAAATAACCAGATCAAAACCAACGAGAACTTATTAGGATGATATGATCCCTGGCTTCCCGTCCTGTAAATGAGGTTGTAGAGCCATAAAAGAGTGGAATTTCTCTTGTTCTTGAATGAATGAAGGTTAGAGACAACTGTGAGGGAACAGTTATGTGGTAGGGACTCTGAGCCTCAAAAGTACAGCGGGTTTTTTTTTTAATAATTAGTTTGGCCGGTTGCAAGAAGGCGGTCGGGAACGGAGAGAGTGGAAAATGGGAAAGAGGATGGATACATAGCCAACAGGGTTGCCTGAGCAACTCTCACTGGTCATGACTGTTCAGCAAATTCCAAATAGGTATGAATTATTTCATAGAAAAAAAAAAAACCTGTGATCATTTTGACATTAACACCCAAGTTGAGTGCCCTGCGAATAGTATCTGCACTATCATGCCTAGGAGGGTCAAAAAGCGGCAACAGACCAATGAACTGCCATGGACCACCTGGACTCTCTTTCCTCCCTTCAGGAATTTCCTGCACAGTAAGCAGCCAACAGAAATTGAAACATTAAGAAGATGTGAGAAACGGAGATTAATAGTTGAATAAATCAATAAAATATATACAACAACAACAACAACAACAAGCCTTTATCCCACTACGTAGAGTCGGCTACATGAATCCTTTTTCTCCATCGTGTCCTATTAAAGGTCAAATTCTCGTTTAAATCTAATAAAGAAAGGTCATTCCTAATATTTTCTAACCAAGTCTTTTTAGGTCTGCCTCTACCTTTCTTAACATAAGTCAAATTTAATACCTCTACTCTCTTAACCGGGTCATTGGAAGGCCACCGTTTTATGTGACCAAACCATCTAAGGCGAATCTCTCTAATCTTATCTTCTACTTTAATATTCTTTAAATGCCCCCATCTAATCCTAGAATATCATTTTACTTTATTTTTTATTATCTGCCCCTTTATCTTAAAGTCCAAAACTAATAATCGATGTTGGGTACATAAATTTTCACTCGGAATAACTTTACAATCTTTGCAATCTTTTTTTTTTTTTTGAGGAAATGCATATAACAGGATTTTATTATAAATAAAAAGATACAAAAAACTAAGTGATTGCGAAGCAATCACAGTCCTCCTTGAGAATGTTAAAAAAATTAGGAGGAACCTTATTGCTACTAAGATCATCCCAAAAGAAATCAACTAAAGAAGCATAATTAGCACAAAAATCCACTAATTTATTGCTATTTCTATGAACAAAGTGAAAAAGAACTTGATTGAACTCTTCTAGGAAAGAAAAATCCAAGTTACCTTGAATTCCATCATCACCTGCTTGTTTATTAAAGATTTTTTTTTTAAAAATCAATAACATTCTTGTTGTCACCTTCTATGATGATCCCCTTGTAATCATATCTGCCTTGAAGAATAAAAAATTTTATAGAAAGAATAGCAGACATTTCCATTTGAGCTGGATCCCAATGCTTACATTGGATACCGAATGCACAAAGAAATCTTCCTCTATGATCCCGGAAGACACCGCCTAAACCAGCATTGTAATTACTTTTTACAGAAGCATCTATATTCAGTTTAATCCATTCGGTTGGTGGAGGAAACCAATAATTTGACAGCTTTGAGGGCTGGTTAGTTTCCCAGTTGACCGAATCAATTTTAAAAGAAGCTACAGCCATGCTGATAGCATTAGCTGCTAAGTATGAGGAGTTGTCCTCCTTTCCTCCATGAATTACATTGTTCCTATTGATCCAATTTAAGAAAACAGCTGAACAATAGATGTTACCTATAATCTGTTCTTTACAGGCCATCATCTTTAAAGCTTTAGAACAATCTTCAAAAGAATTGAAAACGGGTATAGAGAATCCCCAGCTTCTAATAACATTGAAAATTTGAATTAGTTTATGACAATTCACCGCAATATGGAATTGATTTTCCACAGAATTGCATCCTCTCGTGCAGTTCTCGGGCCTTAACAGATTTCTGTGATTCAGGAATGCATTGCAAGGAATAGCGTTGATGTTAAGTCTCCACCAAAAAAGACTTACACGAGGTATGAGCTTAAGATCTTTCCTCCATTTCCAAGTAGGATCTTGACTTTCATAAGAACAGGATTTATTAGAAATTAATGCTGAAATAGATTTACCTGAGAACTTGAATAAGAGTTCAAGTTGATCTTCATTCAGTTCAGTATTAATAGGAACTTTATTGATTATTTCAATTAAATCAGGTCCAAAAAAGATTCTCAGTTTTTCAGCATCCCAGCCTCCTTCATTGATAAAGAAATCCAGATTTTGGATATCTTCTCCCAAATCTGCTATAAAGGTAGGCCAATTCGAAATAGATTTATCATAAATCCAAACATCATGAATGATGTTAATATTGTTTCCTTTAGATATCTTCCACCTTAAGATATCTTTGAGAGCTTGAAAACCACTGATGATGATTTTTACCGTTGGAGAGCTATGATTTTTCTTCTTAAAGTTCCAAGGCTGATTACCATATTTGGCTGTCAAGATTTTGTATAGAATAGAAGATGAACCAGAAATAAGTTTCCAAGCATACTTAGCTCTTAGAGGGCCGTTTTTAGAAACCAATGAATGGATACCTTGCCCTCCCAAATTAAGAGGCTTGCAAAGAACCTCCCAAGAAACATAATGCATCCCTTTATTACCATCATGTTTGTTCCAAAGAAAATCCCTACACATTCTATCTAGTTCCTTGAGTATGCTCAAAGGAACTAAAGAATGGGAAATGTGATAGATTGGGAATGATGAAAATATGGATTTAACAAGGAGAATCTTCCCTGATAATGAAATGTATTTATTGCCCCATACATTCATATATTTATTAGCTTTATCCAAAAGAGGATAGAAATCCATTCTAGAAGTTCTTCTCAACAAAATATTGATCCCAAGGTAAATTAGATTTTGAACCACTTTGAATTTCAGAATTTTCGACAATCTCTTCCTCCTTTTATTAACAGAATTCCCAAAAAGAATGGAAGATTTTTGGGTGTTGATTTTTTGTCCAGTCCACATGCAATATTGATCCAGAATTTCTTTTGCTTTAAAGACATTTCTCTCATTAGCTTCCAAGAATAGAACGATGTCATCAGCAAATAGTAAAAGAGAAATTTTCTCAACTTTAGGAGTTATTCTAATACCCAAGTTCTTTCCATTTTGCTTCACCAAATCAGAAAGCAATTGAGAACATAAAATAAAAAGGAAGGGAGATAGAGGGCATCCTTGCCTAAATCCCCTTTTGGCTTCAATCCAATCCGAATTATTACCATTGATGATAATAGAAAATTTAGTATCGGAAACACATTGGATGAGGAAGTTTGCAAATTTATCTGGAATTCCCAATCTCCTTAAAACTTGAGTAAGGGTTGACCAACCCATACTATCATGTGCTTGTTCCATATCTATTTTGACAGCCATAAGCCCTTTTTTTTATTTTGAGAATCTAAAATTGTTACAAACTTCCTGGGCTAACAGAATGTGCTTAGAACTAGATCGGCCTTTAATAAAGGCAGCTTGATCTTTAGAAATAAGTTTTGGAATAATCCCCAACATTCTGTTCAACAACATATTGGCTACCAACTTATAGATAGATAAACAAAGACTTATGGGTCTATAGTTAGAAGGAAGACTAGGATTATCAGTTTTTGGAATTAGGACAATCAAATTTTCCTTCCAAGTAGGACACATAACTCCTAGATCAAAAAATGATTGTAAAGCCTTCCAAACATCATTTTTTATGATAACCCAAAAAGATTTGATAAATGAGTAAGAGATCCCATCAATACCTAGAGAAATATTGGATTCAAGATGTTTCACCACTTCTTCCAGTTCTTCAATCTTGAAATCGTTAATAAGAAATTTTTTATCTGCCTCATTAAGAACATTATACGGTTTAGGCCATCCAGAGAGGCAACAATCCTTTTCATCCCATTTATTACTGAAAAATTTGAAGAAGATGTTTGCAATCTCCTCTTGATCAGCTGTTACTCTCCCGTCTTCTCCTTTAATCTGATGGATCCAGTTGGAATTCCTTCTTCCTGAAGCAAATGCGTGAGAAAACTCCGTGTTTGAATCACCTGCTTCCAACCACTCCGTGTTTGAATCACCATCTTCCAACCACAAATTAAGTTTTTGCTCTTTGCCTCCACCACAAATTAAGTCGTGAAAGAGTAGAGTTTAAATTAAGGACTTTGGCTTTCAGCTGCTGAAGTTTCTCTTCAGATAATCCACCTGATTCGGCTTCTTCATATTGCATTTCCATAATCTCCTTCTTTAGATTTTCTTTAAGCAACATTAAATCCTGATGTTTGTTTTTGCTCCAATAATAAAGAGCTTTTAAAACTCTTTTTAACTTCTTATTCAAAGAGCTTGTAGGATCGCCTGTCATATTCTTACTCCAGGAATTTTTGACTATACCCATAGAAGCAGCATAAGAAGACCACACTTCTTCATACCTTATAAACTGTATCTTTCGATCAGTTGGATTAAACAGATTGAGAAGGATGGGACAGTGGTCAGACGCTACCCTTGGAAGATGTTTAATGAACGGATTTTGAATTGTTTGCAAAGCCTCCGGGTTCAATAGACATCTATCCAACCTCTCCATGATTCTAGCTCCCCCTGATTTATTGTTACACCAAATGTACCTTGGTCCAATGAATTTTAATTCATGATAGTCACATGAACTAACAAACATACTCAAATCTTGGACACCTTGAGTAAATTTGAAATTTTTTCCTCCAAGCTTATCCTTTTGGGAAGAAATGCAGTTGAAGTCTCCTCCAATGATTATGGGTAAGTTTGAATTAGAAATCCCTTCAAGAGTATTCCATAAGCTCTTCCTTCTGAATGAATCATTACTTCCATAAATTGATGCTATAATCCATGTCCCTTTGTTGTGATGTTCAATTCACCAATAATGGCTTGAGAAGATGATAACAAGGTGGAGAAAGAAGCAAGATCTTTCCTCCAACAGACCATTAATCCACCTGAAAGGCCTTCAGCAGGGAATGCATAAAAATCCCAAAGCTTTCCTATGAATTTATCACAATCCTTTCTATCAAATGCAGAAATCTTGGTTTCGGATAACCCAACAAAAACCAAGTCATTATCTTTGATTCATTCCTTCAAGTAATGGGAGGCTTCCTTTTTTCTAGCCCCCCTACAATTCCAAAATATAATTGAAGTCATGATTGATAAGAATAGGGATTACTCCCTTTCCTACCTTTAACAAAGCCACTTCCTTTTGTGCCATGCAAGATGATGTTGTCCTTTCCCAAGGATTTCAGCTCCTTCTGTAGTTTGAAAACATATTTATGATAGGGTGTGCTTGAGTTCGCAAGTAATCCCTCAGGATTTACAAGAGTTCGCAAGCAACCCTTCCCATTGATGTCTCTATTAGGAGAATCTACTTTCTCCAAAGAATCAACCTCAAAGATTTTATTGGAATTGTCTGTATTTTTCTTGTAAGCTTTATTGATTTCTAGCTCTTCAGTGGCCATTAGAGGGATAGGTTCCAACAGATCCTTCTGAATTTCTTTAAAAGCATTTTCTGTCTTTTCCTCAGTATTGCTGTCCTCCTTAGAGCCTTCCAAACAATTATCTTCTTCTTCCAATATGCTGAAGCTGTTCTTCAACGAAACCTCAGGATTTGTAGTCTCTCCCGGTCCAATTGAGGCTTCAGTTTCAATAGTTTGAACTGCATCTGGTTCCTTAGCTCCTTCTTCTATGGTCGTTTTTTATTGCACAGGAAGATAGATTTGAGAAGTTGTTTTCTTACTCACATATGCATTTCCCCCTACTCTGTTTTTCCTGAACTTAACTTGAATCCAGGGACCTAGTTCATCCTGTACATTAGAATTGTCTTTGGCTCCTCCTTTATCCATAATCTTCTCAATAACATTAGAAGATGTTGTAGCAGGTTTTGAAGAAAGATTATTGATTAAAGAACATTTGCTCTTAATATGGCCCAATTTGCCACAATGATAGCATAGAGAAGAGATTTTCTCATATACTACTTTTTGGAATGATCTTTCATGCATCCCTTCTATCCAAACTCCTTTTGGAATTTTCATGTCCAGATTTAAACGAACACAAATCCGAGCATATTCTCTCTTCCCTCACTTGAAGGAGTTTCCATCAAGATAGATTGGAGTACCTATCTTGGAAGCAATTCTACAGATGTTTTGTTCGTCCCAACAGTGCAAAGAAAGACAAGGCAAATGAATCCAAACAGGAGCTGTGAGTCCTTTTAAGGATTCCGGTGAAAAATTGGGGACCATCTGTCTAACCCAATGATGTTGCCTCCTATAAACCAAGGTCCACCTTCAAGGATTTCATCCACAGCTTCTGGTTTTGTGAATGAGCATAGAATCCAATCAAGACCCAAGGTAGTAAGGTGAAAATTACCAAATTTCGACCATTGCTTGCGCAGTTCTCTACTGCATACTGGAAATGGTATATTACTTCCCAAAACTTTGATTACCAGAGAATTTCTCAGGATCTGAGAATTAGCCTTTTCAGAATCAGGATTCATAATAACTGCTACCCCGTCTTCAGAAACAGGAGTAGAATTCATATCATAATTGAGTTTGATATGATGAGTCTTTGTCCAAGCATTTCCATACATGAACTTAGAGCCGACGTCCGCATTCTTATCAGTATTAGCTTTTGAGACATTTCAATCAACACCAGATTGCAAGATATATTGAAATGAAATGCCTGAACAAGGAACCGAAGATTGCTTATCCTCCGAATGAGAAATTTTGTTAATTTCCTTCGAGACATTCGCAATTATCGCTGGCCATAGGTCAGAGATTGCATTTGAATATCCAAATTTATTAACAAAAATGTTTAATCCTGAAGAAGAAGCATCTGCATCATTCGGTTGCAAACTTGACAGGATTTTTCAATCCTAGGGGTATTGCAATCTACATTTGCCAAGATACTCTTTCCCTTACCTTCCACCATACTAATAGTCTTCTTTACCGGAGCGTCATTCACCTCTCTAATAATCAGAGGTTTTGATGTCGATTTGAGAATTTCAAAAATCGATTCAGGACCCTGGGATGACCGTCTTCGATCTTCATCGGTTTCCACTTTACCTTCCAAGTTTCCAGTATTGACTAGCGCACCGACTAGAGGTCGGCGGCTCTCCTCCGTCATCGCCAACGCCGGCGATGGTATAACCAGAAAAACCGCGAATTTGAAAAAGTTCAAAATCTGCGGCAGTTTCTCCTCTCTCCTCGCCCAAAATTCACTAGAACCTTCAATCTTTGCAATCTAAAAAATCTAATTTTCTTATAAGAAAATAGTCAATCTGGGTTGTACTATATCTATTTTTATAAGTGATGAGATGCTCATTTCTTTTCTTAAATAAGGTATTAGCAATTGAAAAATCATAAGCTAAACAAAAATCTAATATGGTCTTGCCACATTCATTTGTTGTTCCAAAACCAAAGCCACCATGAATGTTTTTAAAATCATCTACCTCTCTACCAACATATCCATTTAAATCTCCTCCAATAAGAACTCTTTCTTCTAGAGGTATCTTTTGTAATAATTTTTCTAAGTCATTCCAAAAATTTAATTTAGAACTCATATCCAAACCTACTTTAGGAGCATAAGCACTTATAATATTAACAATTTTATCATCAACAATAATCTTTAAAGCTATAATTCTATCTCCAATCCTATTAATTTTTATAACATTATCCTTCAAACTCTTATCTATAATAACACCTACATCATTTCTAGTACGACTCCTACCCGAATACCAAAGTTTAAATCCTAAACTATCAATTTCCTTAGTCTTCTCTCCAACCCATTTAGTTTCCTGAATGCACAAAATATTTATCTTCCTGTGAATCATAATATCTATTAATTCCATTAATTTTCCTGTAAGTGAACCTATATTCCAAGTTCATATCCTAATTTTAGTTTCATGGACTAGCTTCTATGCCCACATCCGTCCTTGATGTGGGAATGATGGGGACATCAGATTTTGACACGTGTACCATCGTCGGAGACGCAGATCGACGGCTACGATCCAGAGCCTTTATCTTTGATTTATTTGCATTATGAGTGTATTTTATTTTATTTTTCTAGTTTGCCCCTGAGGGCATTGTTTTACTTATGTAGCCCCGAGGGCATTTCTGTCTTTTCAGTTATGGTTATTTTGGGCCTCTTTATATGAGGTCTCATGCATTGTAATAGTTAATTTTTTATGAATGAAATTTTCTTTGTGATCTCTTAGTGAGCTCTTGAGTGAAACTCCCCAAGATCTCTTAGTGAGTTCTTGAGGGAAGAGTTCTTTGATTCTCCTAGTGAAAGATCCTCCTCCCTCCACGATTCTCCTACCTCCATCTCCCTCCTCAGGTTTTTCCCAAGACCCCGCCGCCCAGTCCCTGCAGCCTTCCCTCAGTTTTCACCATCCAACCCCTATCTGATTCCCCCCCCTACCAGCCTACCGCCGGCTGAACCAGCTACCAGCCTGACGTCCCCCTCCCCTCCGCCCCCCACCTGATTCCACCGCCGGCTGTAATCCCGTCCAGGTCGACAGCCCTCTTGCCGGCACTCCCAGCTGCCCAGCTTTGTCGCCGGCCCTTCCCCCCATCCTCTGCGAATTTCAAATCTCCTGGCATAATTGACTTTCCTAAGATAGCATCTATCTATTTAGGAAATCATTCATTGGGATTTAATTCACATTTGAATTTCAAACCTCTTTTCCCTCTATTAATCCCCTAAACCTGAAACGTTCCTTAATTAAAATCAATCTGAATTTAAACAAATCAGATTGCTTTTAATTTAGTTAATCCCTTGGGCCCCACCCATCTAAATACCGAGCCCCTCTCTCTCCTTTGTGGCCGGTTATATTACCCCTATTGTTTCTCTTTCTATTTTCCACATCATCACCCCTTAAATGCCTCCTAAATACCTTCCCCCCATTAATGTGATTTCAGTTTTTCTTTCAGATTTTATCTCAGATGTCAAATCTGAAATTGAAAATCAATTTCTTCCCCTCCTCTAATTACAATATGAACTAAAGTTCAGCTTTCTTTAAATAAAATTCCGCTTTCCTCCCCCCCCCCCCCACTAATTAACGTCTCCTTTCTTCCCCACCTCCACCTCCCCAAGACCGGCCACCTCTTTTTCTCCTTCTTGGGCACCTTCAACCCGGATCGAGGATGCATGGCGGATCCCGAACTTGAAGGCGGACTCGTGTTTGACATTTACGGGGACATTCACATTCTCCGATCCCCATTCTTCGACGTGGGATTTGACCACGACGACGACACCGTGGGAGCTTATTTGGATCGGATACTCCCCACTCTCGTGCACGTCGTCGACAGACAATTTGCGGACTACGAGTGGATCATTGACGGACGACCTCCCACGCCTCCTCCACGTCCGACGCCTTCCTCTCCATCGCTACGAATCGTTGGCGTCGTCTACCTTGGAGTGGTTTCATTCATTGTGTGGTTCTTCTTCCTCCGACAACCCTAGGCATAGAAGAGTGATTATAAGCCTCAAGGTGAGACGATTACTTTGTTAACCGCCGGATTCTAGTTGGCTTCTCATTGTCATTACTTTAATTGAAGTTGTTATTTTATAAACCTTGCTAATTTAGTTGTGACAACTTGCCTAAACTTGGTTAAAAGCTAAGATCTTTTTGAAGTATCAATTGTGAGAATCATCAAGATTTTAATTTCATTATTTTAACGAACTTCTATTAATTTTCTAAGATTCAATTCCTGGTTTCACATCAGGGAACCCTTGCCTATTTAACACTGCTCCCGGGCGCCGGTGCAGCAGCCCTTGCACACTTGTCACTGTATTCAGGCCATACAGCGCGTCGCTTCCAGGGGACGCCCTAGCATTAACACAATTTTTTAAAGGATTCATGTTATTATTATTCGACAAATTTTATGCTGGCTGTCGACTACCTAACACAACCCTCCATTTTTCTCATAAAATATATGATGAGAGAAAAAAAAGGAAAATAAACAGGAGTTTCACCTGGTATGCCACTGCAAGCGATCGAAGCCCACGTTCTGCAAATTTGTCGATCACTGCATGAACCCTTCGTTCTATGTCTGACTTGTTGTGTGCAAGATGCAATATCTAAAGGCCAAACAATATGAAAATTTAAGACCGAATTACTGAAAATTAACAAAAGTGTGAACTATAATGAAATAAGAAGAGACCTAAGTAACACTACAATGTTACCTGTTCAGGAGCGCCTTTGCTGACCCGATGAAGTTTTCCTTCATTATCAATGTAAGTTAAAGCAGTTCTCTTATCGGTCGGATTGAACGGCAAAAAATGAACTTCTTGGATATCAGATCTCGCCTTTAAGCATTGAGAGAAATTTTTACAAACATGGATGGCTACAGAGAAGACAGAACCAAAGACAATGTAAAAATTTACCTCTTTGGGGTCTGCAAGACTTCCAACAATAGCAGTATCAATAGCATCTTGATTTTCAATTCTTGAGGCCCTTGCCGCCATTAGGATGACTGTATCTCGAGTTACTCCTTTGGTAAAAACCTGTATAAGTGTGATTAAGCGTACAACAAATACAAAACGGATTCAGAAAAAAGTAAGAGCAAACTAGCCAGAACATAAGGTCCATAATAAAAAAGATTTACAATGTAAGATTCTTAAATCTGACCTCAATTAGGCTCTTGTCAACTGTTAGCTTGTTCAAAGTAAGAGTCCCAGTTTTGTCACTACAAAGCACATCCATGCCAGCCATTTCTTCAATAGCAGTCATTCTCTTGGTGATTGCTCCCTGAACACAATTTTTTTTAAAGATGGGGAGAAAAGTATAATAATACATTTTCAAGTCACTAATATAGAGAAAAACTAAATAATGCATTTTGAAGTCAGAACCATGAAAATCATGCACTATTTGTTCGCTAATAACCTTATAAAAACTCAAAAGCAAAGCACGTGTAATCTTATTGCTTTTTCAGCTCTAAATTATGCAATGTTTAAATTAATAGATGAATTCTAGTCAACCTGTTGTGATAAACGATGAGAACCGATTGCCATTGTAACTGACAAGACTGTGGGCATGGCTATAGGAATTCCTCCAATGAGAAGAACAAGAAGATTGTCAATTCCGGGACGATAGGACCGCCGTTGGATTGGGTACATGACAATTATCTCAGCAAACATCCCGACAGCAATTGAGCATATACAGAAATTTCCAATGGCTGTCAACACCTGCTCAACAAATAAAGTTCAGCAACCAAAAAAAAAAAAAACTGCAAAAATTAATGAAGTAGCGTAAAAGGTTAAATGAATTAACAAGTTAGAAACAGAACATTAGGAACTTTTAAATGATTAATGCTTCCCCAACCCGCCCATCCCAAACTTTCCATGGCCAACCAAAATTGTTTGGCCCATCAGATTGCAGTCTTAGTCCTCCAAGTTTTTTAGTTTCATATTGGTCAACCAACAATCTCGACCGAGCACGGATTAAGGTGAGTTTCGGGCTTTTCCACTTACCTTTTGGAAGTGACCAACTTGGCTTGTACTGTCGACAAGATGTGCAGCCTTGCCAAAAAAGGTGTGAACACCAGTAGCGATGACTACAGCTTCAATCTCTCCTTGCTTGCATGTGGAACCAGAATATACACCATCACCAGGACCCTTGGTTACAGGCAGGGACTCACCAGTAAGGGCGGACTACAAATTTGATCAAGAAATTGAAGGAAAAGACGAGTGAGAGAATTAGCAAATTAGAACAATTCATAATTAAACTTGGGAAAATAAAAAAGTATCAAGGTAGGAACCTGATCAATTTTCAGTGGATCGCCATCAAGGAGCCGGGCATCAGCAGGAATGATATCTCCAAGCTTGATGCTGATAATATCTCCGGGCACTAATATAGCAGCGTCCTCCTCACTCCATTTTCCATCCCTAAGCACCTATCCGTAACAAAACCCCAAAGTTAAAGCTAATAAACAAAAAATTTATTGCTACTTCAAGTTACCATAAAAATTATCAAGACAAACTTATATTTCCTAAAGTTTCACAAGTTGAGACAAATATAAACAAAATAAAAAAAATCAGAAACTAGGATGAAAACCAGCAGCATTGCTAATGCAGAAACCTTTGCTTTTGGTGCAAGGCGTGCCATGAGCGCCGCAGCAGCATTGCCTGCATTGCTTTCCTCAATGAAACTAATGGTTGAGTTGATAAGAAGCAAGGTTATGATTCCCACAAAGTCTTGCCAATCTGGAGGCTTCCCCTGTTCAGCAGAAACTATTTTTGGTTAAAAGGAATCAGGCAAATAAATCTTGACATCAAACATAACCGATTATATATTTATTTGATTGATCCTAATGCTACTAAAAAATGTTTATATAAAGACTAGAGAAAAGTGCAATAAAGAAAGTACAATAAAGAAGAATACTCTCCATAATTAGAATATATTATAATAATAAATACTATAGATTCCTAATAAATATTAGGCATAGGTGGTAACTAGTAATACTATTACAATAACATTATAATTCTTATAACTTAAAAAACCCCTCCCAAATTCACAATGAGACAGCTAGAAACATTGAGAAGTTGCATAGTGCATGAAGAATCAAAATATCTAAGCCAAGGGACAGGAACAGAACAATAGGGCAATGATCCGAGCAGGTAGCATAATAGGAGTTGGGAAAAGTTTCCATCCAAGCATCATTATGATAGGAAACACTTGTAGATATCAAGTATTTCCTATCAATCTTCGGAAAACAATGAGATTTCTCCACAAATATCCACACAAAACCACGAAAACAGTAAAAATTTTGTATTATTTGATGAAATAGAAAAGAAAAATAGCAAGATACAGTTGATCCTCAAGTCGAGAGGAGGATCGATCTCTCCCAAATCTCTAGACGCCGCTAGAGCCCAAAGAAAACCAAAATCTAGGAGATCTCAAATTTCAGCCAAATTCAAGATGCCCTAACCCTAGGAAAACAAACTATTTAATGCATACAATTCAAAAGGAAATCTCTAAACAATCCCTACATTCAATTTCCCTCCTAAACTTCCCAAACTGCTTTGCGTTGCTCTACGCATCTGATCTGGTGTACAGAAGGTGGAAGCTTTCCGCCTCTGTTAGCGCCTGGGTCGGTCCCGTGTGGACCGGCTGGACTGGTCCAATGGGCCGGTTTAACACATTAACTAGAGCACGGTACAATTTTATATGTATTGGATTGTATGTTCTTTGATTGAACCAAGTGAAGGCATTTCCAAGCGATGCGAGTTCTTACAGATGAGAATAAAAATTTGCCGAGTTAAAATCAAAGAGCCTATTTAGGAGTAGGGCATTTCTCCCGATCATATCAAATGCAAACCTACAATAATTAAAATCACTCATGACAATCCAAGGAAAATTAGACCGAGGAGTGACCGACCTCAAATTTTTTCAAAGCTTTTTTCTTTCCTCAGAATTATTTGAAGCATAGATAACATATAGCTGAAAAAGCATGCTAGACCCAAAAATAATTGAACCAGAGGAGCACTTCACCCGGAACCTTCCCGAATTTGAGAAATGAAAGTTGTGATAGCTTTCTTCTGAATCAAACAGCAGGTGCGAGTTGGCAAACCAACGGTCATAAAGGGAAGAAATGTGAATCCTATTTTCTAATACACAGAAATGTCTAAATCAAAGGCTTGCAAGAGGCGCTTTCAACTAAGTAATTTTGCTAGGCTGCAAAATCCCCTAATGTTCCACACTTCAATAGTCAAATTAATTATTAGGATTTGGATGATGGAGGGCAGGGGGGCTTCCTAGCTTGTTTACCCCTAGTGGGTTTAGTGTATTGGGCCGAATTAGTTGTTGAATAGTAAGGCTGAGGGGCCTTGGAGGGAGGGTCAACAGTAGGCGGCTGAAGGTTTTCTGCCGGTTCTTGCTGTAAGGCCTCAAATTTGATTGCAGAAGTAACTCCTAAAGGAGCTTGGGAGACGGGGCTAGCAGGGAAAAAAGAAGGCGGGGTTTCATCTGTGGGGGAATTAAGATTTGGAATGATGTGACTGGTTATTTGGGAAGGCACATTAATGATTGGAGTGTGATTAGAGGAGATAATAATGGAGGTAGCTGGGCGGGACGGCAGGGGGGGTATATATATATATACTTTATAGGTTGTAATAGGCATGGTCAAGCAATAAAGAATTAGTTTGCTACTCTCCATTCTCCCTTCCCTCTCTCCCTCTCCTCTCCCAAGAAAAGAAGAGGGAGTGCTCATTCCTCTCAAGTAAGATCTAACATCTGGCATCAGAGCCTGGTGGATACAACCAAGCTAAGTGGAGGTGGAGGAGGTTTTCTTGTCCAAAGAAAATAATTCTAAAAAGAGGGAGACGCTCGATTTGCGTCTGAGAGCTGGACTGGAGGCCATTCGGTCATACTGAATGGAGCAGAGGCTCCGTGAAGGTTCATCGGAGCTATAGCATGTCGGAGTAAGCAGGAGGGAACGAACGCGGACTGGAGGAGAATCACGCGTGGATTGGGCATGAGGACTGGTCGCAGACGGAGCGGATGTTCTGCGATCAGCGAGGTAAAGCGGACTGTAGGTGCTAGCCGGCGTCGGGCTCGTTCATGTGGAATCAGGCGGGTTAGACAAAGTCTGATCAAGAGGTGTTCGTGCTGGGCTATTTGCATAAGGGACGGTCAGAAAAGAGCTTCTGCTGGCAAAGACGGGGGGATTCTGATGTGGGCTATTTAAGTGGGCAATACATTGTGCAAGAACCTCGAATTGTAGACGCCTCGAGCTTCTTGCAATCGATCTTGGATTTCAAATATATGAGAAGTGTCGGATGTGAGAAAAGAAGCCAGAGGTGGTATGCTTACGGAAGTCAGAACGAAAGCTAATCGACAATCGTAGAGATTTCAATTGCTAAAAGAAGATAAAGCTTGTTCGTGTGAAGATCTCAGAAGAAAATAAAGAAGGCAAGATAGTTGTTGCAAATTTCAATGAAGCATGGTGTGCTAGGTGGATCAGTTGAAGAAGACGGGTATGGAAGCTAATTAGTGGATCGGGTGGAGGTGCTAGTGCGGAGGCAGGGAGCCTGGTCGCAAGATTGGGCACGAGATTGTTAGAAGCATGATTAAAATATCTGATTAGATCTTTTTGAGGTGAAGTTTTGGACTTCAGGTGGAGTCCGGGAGACATTAAGGTGGATTCGACCTGTTCTTGATGAGCAGTGCCGGGAGTGCGTGTCACGACCCGGCCCGAATGCTCGATCTAACAAGGCGGGTACGAAAAGTCGGACGATAAAATTCATTTCACATAATACTACATCATTCATGATAAAGAGCCACTAAAAACACAAAATATATTTTACATGTTGTCATTTGCACCTCGTCTTTTGTAAACATGTTCTTCCCTTTCAGCCATTATTTCTTTAGGAACTTACCTGAAACGTTTAAACTCGTGGTTTGAGTTTATTAAGTAAACTCAGTGGGTAATTTTCATCTCCACTTAATATACATTAAAATCACTAAGATAAAATAAAATTTAACATTTACATTAGTGTACTTTTGCTTCACTTTATGCATTTCCTTTCATAAATTTCATTTAAACATTTCTCAATCATATATATCTCATTGTATAACATTATATTCATTCATAAAATTTCTTTTAATCCATATACCTTTTCCCTTTTGAATTCATACAGGAGCACCGTCTAAATGTACTCAAAGGTACAATCATTTTCATTTTCTTTATCCATTTTCGTTACCTTTTCCCTTTTTACGTGCACGGGTACGTTGCTTCCCCAGCCAGTACCATACGGGGGTGAACTCCTGTATACTTTGCATGCATAACCTTTTCCTTTTTTTTGTTTCATTTGATATTATGTCATTTTCCTTTAATATTTATGTATTTGTATTCTTAGATGTATAGATATGCATTTCAATTATTTTCCATTTCCTTTGCATATATTTTCTTTCACATATATTGATAAATTTCCACATGCTTATAATATTTCATTCGTTTCATTTATACAAATTCGATATTAATGCATGTATTAGAATTTATATTGTCTCATCTATAACTATCTTCAAATGGAATAGCATGTATAAAATACAATTAATTGTATGAATATAATTTGAATTTTGAAATGAAAATAACTAGTAAAAATTTTCACAAGCATAATTACCCACTTTATTTCTCCCAAAACCTCGATTCTTGGAGCAACCTCAACTTCGAATTCCTACAACTTTCACAAATGTAACTTCTATAAAAACGTGCTTTTATAATAAAACTGAAATAAACTTGTATAATATGAGAGTCACTTACAAAGGAAAAATAGGATTTTTCTAAAAATCCCTAAATCCTTCTCTCCCAAAATTCTTCTCTTTGCTTCAATTCTCTTCCTTTACCTTTAAGAAATATATTGTTCGCTTTAAACGAAGTAAACGAAGGAATTTATACGAAAATCCGAAAAAAAATTCAACAAACCTTTTTCCTTTTTTTTCCTCGGTCGTTTCCTCCCTTTCGTTAAAAAATTCTCCTAAAATAACACTCTGATAACGATAAGAATGAAAAAGAATCACTATTGCTTACCCTTGAAGATAATCATTTGCTAAAATCGGAGAAAAGAAAAAACTACCTCGCTCTCGCGTGAAACCCGTCCGCTCGCCCCTCTCTGTTCGCGCGAAAAAAAAAACTGTAGCGACCCTCTGTTGGTCGCGGCTAATAAAAGAAACGGGCGGCCGGTTTGGTTGAACCGGCCCCCAACCGGTTCATTACAGTGCGGGGCGCCTGGAGGTGCGAGGTCGTGCGGCGCACGAGGAGGTCGCACAGGAGTGCAGGGCACTAGTGGATGATACGTACGACCGGACGTGACAGTGTAGGGTGTGGGATTGAGATGAGCAGGGCGCAAAGCTCGGTGCGCGGGTGGATACACGCAGGATGTGGTCGGAGTCAAACCGCATAAGTGCAAGGCGCGAGAGTGGAGTTGGAAGCCTAGGGCACATGCACGAGGCGCGGGGTGCTGGTGGATGCATAGGGCGCGGAAGCGAGGCACACAGGGTCCTCGGGAATTGATTGCATGGGATGCAGTGCGACATGAAAAGATCTACCAAGAGGTGGAGCTAGAGCTCGTGAAGTAGGAAACTCAAGAGATGGTGGAGCAGTTCTTGAGAAAATTATTAACCGTATGGTTAACACTATTGGCGGGGAAGATCGGTGGAGTTGTTCTTTGTGAACATTAGTTATCTTTTTGGTGTGTAAATCTAGGACCAATGTAGAGAATTGTTTAAACATTGGTCCTAGATTTAGGTTTGAAGCTTGTTATGTAGCTTGTTGTATAGCATTAGTGTCTATATATAGAGGCTTTATAGGTTGTAATAGGCATGATCAAGCAATAAAGAATTAGTTTGATGCTCTCCCTTCTCCCTCCCCTCTCTCCCTCCTCCTCTCCCAAGAAAAGAAAAGGAAGTGCTTCTTCCTCTCAAGTAAGATCTAACAGTATTAAAGGTTGCTAAAGGTTAAAGAAATACTGAGTAGATATCAAAGATGGCTCTAGTGGTGGCTTTAGTCAGATGGTTATGGGATGGTTGGCGGTAGGCAGTTGGTCGCTAGTTATGGATGGACCAATTTCTGCTAGTGCTTTTACCCCGCTTGGGAGGCTCAGGCTCATAAGGGGTGCCAGCTTTGGAAGGGCAACTTGTGGTGGGGTGAACCATAGAGCTACATGTTGCACAAGGTGTCAGATGCCATTCATATTGAACCTTAAGGCTAATGACTTCCTCTTCCATAGAAATAGGGATGATGTCCGGGTAGGTGGTGGTGTTTGAGACTTGCACACAAACCCTGGCATATGTATGTCTCGTTTTCTCAACTATTAAAGTGCCTACAGCCAAAGGGATACCTATTTTAAAAGCTATTTTGGAAATGCCTTTAGAGTTCCAACAGGACAAAGGCAGGTCATGGATTTTAGCCCATATGGGAGCAGAGGTGAAGTTTTCTCTTGTAGGGCGAATTCGAGAGGACCATTTCTGAAGGATGAATGTTTTCCCCAGGAAAACCCATGCTCCTCCAAACCATGCCATGTCATAGTCTTCCATAGAGAAAAGGGCAGGAGGAAGAAACCATCGCTCAATGCAACTAACTAGAGCATACCTTGAAGCTTCCACGTTTGTCGGATTGAAGCAAGCAGAGCTTTGTAGCAGGGTCTCTTACCAATATAGTAGCCAACCAGACAAAGGTTCCATTCTGATGAGCATGAAGCAATGAACTCCTTAGAAAAGGAAACAATTTCATCTAGGGTCGGAAATAAATGAAATCGAGATGTTATTGGGGGTGGAACTTCTATCAGAGATGATATTACTCCATACTAGTGCAGGGGACCTACGGGGAAGTTAGAGAGGAGTGGGAAATCTTGTGAATATTGAGTTGAGTCCAAGTGAGGACAAAGAGGGGAGGTGTTGAGAGGAGGGGGCAAGCCTTCGGAGCCGGAGGGAGAGGCAGAAAAGGGCAGGGCGGCTAGGGTTTCAGGAGAGTAGATGCCGACTCGGAAAAGTTCAAAATTTAACAAAACGGTGAGATCATAATACCCAACATTATGTTTGGTGAGATTTAAGTTAAATCTTACTTAAATCTTGCCAAAAATAGGAAATCAAACAGCCCCTTAAAGTCCCACAATTTTATTTGGCAGGGTTTAAGTTAAATCTTTCTTAAATTTTACCTAAAATAGCAAGCCAAACAGCCCCTATATAAGCACTGTCAAAACGCACCCCACAAATGTAATGCTTTCATATTTTTTCAAAAAAAAAAAAATCATTAACTAAAACATAGTTTATATCTGCAAGTAACAAAATGAGCTCCATGAAGAAAACAATTGTCTCACCCCTCCATTAGCAAGAGCAATGGCCATGATAGCAGCGGCCTCCATAACCCAAGAAAGAGGGTTCCACATAAATCCAAGGAACTTGAGAATCCTGCTCTCCTGTTAAAGGAAAAAAATCTGCAAACAATATAACACACAAAATCAAGAAAAAAAGAGATGTTTCCATGGAAACCTCCTTCTCCTCGAGCTTGTTCGGGCCGAAAATGACAAGCCGCTCCTCTGCCGAGTTGCTGCTGAGCCCTTCCTGGCTGCATCTCAGTTGCTCAAACACCTCTTCAATAGGTATATTTTCCTGCAGATTCCAATAAAATCTCGCAAAAAAAACCAAAAATCCAACACCAAAACTCAAATAAAAAACAATACAACAAAAACTGCATCTCAAACCAAATCGACGGCCTCCTTGAGGACAGCATCAAGTGTCATTGCGCTCTCCCCCATCTCCTTCTCCTCCTTCCCTTCCTGCCACCAAACTCTATGCCGCTGCTTCTATTAACGATGCCAGCAGTGGAATTACACGCAGGCTACACACCTTAAAAAAGATAAAAGAAGTTTTTTTGGCTTTACCTTTTGCTTTTAAGTTGTGTTTCTTTTTCTCAAAACAAAACAAACACCTTAAAAACAAAAGGTAAAGCCGAAAAAAGCTTTCTTTCTCCTTTTATACACCAAAACCAGACCAAAAAAGAGTAAGAGAGTGAGAGGTTGAGGCACCTGCACGAGCTGTCACGCCAAACCCTTCTAAACAGATCGATCAAAGAGAGCGGAGAGCAAGATGTGCATGTAACTAGGGTTTCGTAAAGTGTGTTAGACACAGAGTTCACAGTAGAAACAAACCGTGATAGAAAGAGAGAGAGAAGCAGTAGGAGAGCAGAGCAACCAGCACCACCTCCCGCAAAAGCAGTCATGTACTGACGGGTACACCTTCCATCTTCATTATTATCCTCATTTATTACAAATTCCTTTTTTAATCTAAATTTTACATTAAACCCCTCGTATTCTCTTAAATTATTCTTCTATTTTTCTAAATATTGTATTCTTCTGGCTGGTTTGCCAAATGGGTTGTTTATACACGTGTCTTACGCAGAGCGAACCTAAACGAGATACGGACTTCCGGTGTAATCAGCAGATCTCGCACTTCAAAATGGGTCAGCCGTTCACACTGTTGGATCACAAACCAACGGACAAGATTCTCTCGTGAAGATCTCGTCCACGATCCTATCTCTTGTCGGTGCATAAAGCTAAAACCCAGGGCCTCTGTAGTATGTATTTTCATAAGAATAATTCATATATAAATTATATTACACATTTTAAAAAGTATTTAATAATTTTAACATTCATTATAATAAAATTTTGATCAGAATATTTTAATATAAATTATTATTATTATTATTATTTCACATAAGGCTCTAACTATTTGAGATATCGAGTTTTATATATTATCATTACTGATTCATATTGATGAATTAATATAATCAATGTAAAATAAAATTAGAATAAAAAAATGTAAAATAAAAATATATATAGGCAGAAAGGCTCCTTTATAATTCAAAAATTACAGGGATCTGAAATAAAAAATTATAAGAAATATTGCAACTATTTAAAGGAAGTGTTTATGGATAAGCGTTTGCCAGTTTACTTGTTGATAAGCTGATTTTCTTTTGATAATAATAATAGCTTGTTTAGGAATATATATAATAAATGCTCTTACAATCAAATTTATTTCAAGGTCATGATATTGGTTAGTAAATTTATTTAATATATTTTTATAATAATTGACAACACTTTCTCTTTTCACAACTTCTAATCAAATCATTGATATATATTCAGCCCACATATACAATTAATTATCTATATTTTCACCACCATCCATATGAAATGCCTAATATAAGGTTTTCTACCATATTGGTTAGTGCATACTCATTTTTTTTAACTTTTTTCCATTATCGCATCCCTTCATAAGGCATAAATCAAGAAAGAATGTATAATGGCGTAATCGAACCGAGAGGACTAATTAGAATGGAATGTATGTGGGGCCGATGGTCATTCAATGTAATTATTTCTCTCATGAATAACCGAATAATTTCCTAATTTCTATGATCATCAATCACATATAAATACCCACGAGATGAAGAAACATTATAAGTTTTTTGCTGAGTATTTTCTATATGATATCAAAGCAAAATTATAATATTCTTTCTAAGTTTTTTTTTTTTTCATTTCTTTTGTTGAAAATAAATAAATAAATAATCTATTTTACCATGAGATTATGTACATCTAAATTCTATTTGGCCTATCCTCGTAAGGGCATCTCCAACCGAAAATGTCATTTTTCACTCCAAAATGCAGGGAAATCAAAAAATGCCGTTTTTCATCTCCAATCCAACGCCATTTTGACGCTAAAACAGTCGTTTTCTTTCGCGACTTTCTTCCCTACCTGTTCGGTAGAGAGAACAAATTGGTACAGATGAACAGTGCAACGCCAATATTGGCGTCGCACTGTTCATCCGCGATCAAATGACGTCAAAAATGGCGATCGGTTGGAGCAAAGCAAGAACCGCAAACACTTGTTTGTCGTTCGGTTGGAGATGCCCTAAGAGAGATTTTTTTTTCACCTGAAGCAAAAAGAGCATTTGCCATTCCTCTAATTTTGTAGTACTTCAATTGAAGCATAATTTTTTCCCCTTTAAAGCCTTTATTTTATGTGGTGTGTCCTCTAAAATATATAGCATTATTAATATTTTTTTTATATAGAGAAAATTATATTGGCTTAGTTACTGTGGTTAAAATGGTAAAATTTTAATGACATCACAATAATATAAAAAACATATTTTAATTAAGTAAATTACTGTTCCAACAATTTCTGAATTTATTTTTATGAATGGAAAATCAATTTCTGAAAAAATATAAGAATTTGAATTTTTTTAAAAGGTAGAATATATTATATCATTTGTGTAGCCAATACACTATCAAGATAGGAAAATGTTTTCTAAATGCTAATTTTATTGCTTTACTTTATATCCAATGAAGACTAATATTGTTAGGGCAGTGTTTTATAATTTGTATATTTATTATTAATTAGTGAAATTTGGCATTTATTTTCACTTTGTGTAGCAATTCACACTACATAATGTCTAAATATATTGATAAATTTATAATTCATGAAAAAAATGTTGATAACTATGATGACATAATTTAATGATAATTTTAGGTTACCACTGTCGCTTGACTTCCAGACCTAGCTAATATTTACGGTCTCTTGACCAACCACACTCAACTACTATTTTTCATCGACTTCAACACTACATCGCAAATAGCATTGGCGCACTCCATTGCCTGTATGACCAATATATATGGTCAACAAAAACATTGATACCCATTGACTTTATCACCTACAATTGTCACCAACAATGATGCATATCATTCCTTGTTAAGTTGATACACATCGTCGACACAAAATTTGATGCACCAAGATGTCATCGCTTACTATAGCCAACAACACCAATGCATGTCAGCGATGTAAACATCGAAGCACGCTAATTTTATTGCTTGCCATCACTAATAACATCAATGCATGTTATTGTCTATAAGGTCGATGTAAGCTTTAATTTGTATGCACAATTTTTTATCATTATTTTTTTTTTGTTGTTTTAAAAAAATATGAAAACATTGATACCCATTGACTTTATCACCTACAATTGTCACCAACAATGATGCATATCATTCCTTGTTAAGTTGATACACATCGTCGACACAAAATTTGATGCACCAAGATGTCATCGCTTACTATAGCCAACAACACCAATGCATGTCAGCGATGTAAACATCGAAGCACGGTAATTTTATTGCTTGCCATCACTAATAACATCAATGCATGTTATTGTCTATAAGGTCGATGCAAGCTTTGTATGCACAATTTTTTATCATTATTAATTTTTGTTGTTTTAAAAAAATTATGCTAAAAAAACTATTTTAGACAGCAGATAAAAAGCTATATCAAAAGAATTTTACTCGGAATAAAATATGATTATTTTAAAAAAACAAATAAAAAAATGTATTTTTAGTTTATCAAAATTTATAAGATTTTATTGTTGCACACATAAATTCACGAGTTTAGCAGCTCAAAAGATATGATTTAATATTATGAATAAATAAAATTTGAATGTTTATAAATGATATATGTAATTTTCTAAAAAATAGTATGTATATATAAGAAGCCAAACAAATTTTATCATGAAGGGTTATTTTACTTTTTTGTTATGAGATGACTCCACTTATTTGCGGCCATCAACTCAACATCTATTTTTTGGTGGCATTGTTGTCGTTGTTGTTTTTTCTTAGTTATATGCATACTATTTCGATCTTTTTTAGAACATTGGTATCTACCTGCTGTCACCTCAAATGAAGGTAAATGACGGCAGAACTAATCCGGCGACGGTTGTTGGTCAAGGATGAGTCTGGTGGAAAGAGAACTCTCTCTGTTCTCTTCCTTCTCTTCCTTACTTCCCATGCATCCTCCCCCCTTTTATAAAGAATGAGGGGTCTATTTATAATTTTTTTGGGGTAGCATGACCAGTAAATATAGAGGAGATCAAGGGCATGTTGTGAGTGTTTTGAATGCACGGTGGATATCGAGTCCTTTGATCATGGATAGTTTATCGAGTATTTGAGTGCTTGATGATGTTAGAATTCAATGATCTTCGGCTCATTGGATTTGTCTCGTCGAGTCGCTCGATTCGAATATAAGCATGTAACATTTGAAACCATTTGTACATCTAATTTATAGTTTGAACCTTCAAAATATGCTTCGGGTCTTTGATTGGACCCATTTGAGCTTGGATTGAGTTGAATTTGGTGTTGTTGGATTCATATTTTCTAGATGTTCAGTTCGACTGTAAGTTTGCTGATATCATAGTCAGATGTTCTCAGATTTAATTTTGGAAATTTCCAACTTGATTTTGTCTCTAAATTTGTGCCCGATGAATATAATTTTGTGATGATATATAAGAGATGTATTAACTAAAAAATGATTTTACCTATCCAATATGACATGAGGAGAAGAATATGAATGAAAGAATGAAAAATAAAAGTTGGAAAAGTGGCTTATAACTTTGCTTTAATACCATATAGAGAAGATGTGGCTAAAAAGCTTGCATTGTTTCTCTATCCCGTTGATGTTTATATGTAAATGATGACTATAGAAATTATTAGGAAATTATATAGTTACTTATGAGAGAAATAAGTATATTGAATTGCCACCGGCCTCACGTAATAAAAATTATATGCATATTCCACATAAGATGTGAGGATACTCATCTGGATGAGTGGCTTTACTCTAAGAGGCAGGATATGACACGAGCATATATGCAAAAATCTTAGCTGAGTAGCTCCAGTGGAAGATAAGATTATATAGAGTCGTCTTAGATGATTTGGTCAAATAAAATGGCGGCCTTCCAATGACCCGGTTAGGAGAGTAGATGTATTAGAATTGATTTATGTTAAGAAAAGTTGAGGAAGATCTAAAAAGACTTGGCTATAAATATTAGGAATGACATTTATCTTCTTCTTTTATAATAAAAGATAGAGTAATATATCTTTAGCACACAATTATTTTGGTACAGTAAAACTCTCTAATAAACACAACATGATATAAAAGATATCAAGTTTAGTTTGAAAATAGTACTTGAAGTAGTTCAAGTCTTGACAAATGAAACTTGATTGATCTATTAAAGAGTGGTATGAATCAGATGCAAAAAAATGCAATGAGAATCGCGTATAAATTTTTTTGGGACTTTTAGGTCAATTAAGACAAACTCTCACACACACATCACATACGTAAGACTAGAACCACATACCTCTTAGTTGTTAGCCAAATCTCCCATCCAATAGACTAAGATGAGCAACTTAATCATATTTATAAAAAC